GTATCTTTGTGTCAGCTTCAATTCGGGTTAATTGTGTAAACACGCGTGTGTGTGTGTGTGTGCGTACGTGTGGGTACAAAAAATTGTGTATGCGTAAAAAGTCTGCATGTATACGTGTTTGAATGTGTGTGTGTGTTAGTAACTGTTTGTTTTTGCTAGTAACTGTGTTTTTGTTAGTAACTGTGTGTGTGTTTGTTAGTAACTGTGTGTGTGTGTTTGTTAGTAACTGTGTGTGTGTTTGTTAGTAACTGTGTGTGTTTGTTAGTAACTGTGTGTGTGTTTGTTAGTAACTGTGTGTGTTTGTTAGTAACTGTGTGTGTGTTTGTTAGTAACTGCGTGTGTGTGTGTTTGAGACGTGGGGAGCGGTGGTGTAGCGGTTAGCGCACTGCCCCACGAACACGGCCACCCGAATTCGATTCCCGCTCGCGGCAAACACCGTTTGACGAGTATCTGAACCGGTCCTGGGACTGCCCGTAGGTCGACTCAGCCTTGAATGAGTGCCCTATTTGCGATGCGTAAAAGCAAAATTAAACTTCGCCACAGGAGAGACAAAGACGGTCGGGCGTGGTTACCGTCCAACCCACCCTCTCGTGTACCCGGTGCCGCCCTTAATAGGTTGCTCGCTGACAGCACTTGCACAAACAGTCTGTCCCGTTTCTCCCACCGACCTCAACCCGTTTCGATTTCACTGCCGCTGCAACGAACGCGTCTCAGACCGAGCACGCTTTGAGTCGTCCCGGTGGTTTGCTCGACCCAACCCCTCAGTGGACGATGGAGCGGATTCGGCGAAGGTTCGGGCACAGGTTCCCAAAGCTGCGCCGAGCCGCTGATGCGAACCGTGGCGCGGAAACGAACTTAAGTCGAGAGGCGGTGTGCGCTAATCGCTGTCGTTCGTGATTTACCCTCCTTAAATCTACCTAACTAAGTCCTTCGATACGACTGTAATTTTAATTGGTGTTATTATTGTTAATAAGATCATGAATTAAGCCGCCTTGACTCGTGCTCAGATGTGTATATGTGATGATATATAATAAAAAAAATTATACACTAGTGTGCAACTACGTATGTGTTTGTGCGTGATATCAGTGTATGGGGGAGCGGTGGGTGTAGCGGTTAGCGCGCTGCGCTACCCACACTCATGACGAGTATCTGTGCCTCCCCTAGGTCGAATCAGCCTTAAATGAGGACTGGATGCGGTTTGTAAAATATCAGTACTGGGGAAAGAAAGGCGGCCAGTCGTAGGTGGTAGCCGCCTAGCCACTAGTTCACCCTTACCAGTCTTAATTGGTGCTCGCTAACAGCACTTGCCCCAACAGCATGTGAAATGCTACAAGGGGGATCTTTCTCTTTGCTATTCCTATGCGTGTATATTTATATTTTCAACGCCGTAGTCATATGTGATTCAATAAAACAAAAAACAAAAAACATGCTAAGGATATTAATTTAAAACTTTATATTTTAAAAAAGTAATTATATTTACAGCTCTGTAGCCGTTCTAGAACACCATTCAAATCAGTCAATCCACTGCTGGATGAATGCCTGTCCACACGCAGGTCAGCGTGTGCATGTATATGTACACACACATGTATATACATGCATGTATATATATTCGCATGCATAAAGTTACATATACACACAGATATGTACATCATACAATAACCATACACGTGCACTCGTAAATATAAATATTTCCTTCATTTATATATGTACACACGTGTAGATCATACGTATCTGAATTCATAATTTTATATATATACACACCTACATGTACGTATGTGTACATTGATGTACACAGGCACACGCTCGTACGTATAGCGCACTCACAGCGATGCGTTTATATTAACACGAAACTATAAATAGTTGTTTTATATTTTTAAAGGGATAAGACCCACTGAGATGTATAGCGCTGTTGCAAAAGCGACCTGGGGCTATCGCAAATGATGATAGCACCTCGACGCAAGTGGGCTTATTATCAGCAGCATCATCATCATCACGTGGAAATTTATAGCAGTCAAATTACTCGCATGAAAAAAAAACGCGTTATGTTGAGAGAGACGCGCAAACTACAAATATACAGCAGCAGGCACCAGGGTCGGTATCGAAACCACGACCTCGTGTATACCAGGCGAGGTAGTTAACATCTCCTAGCCACTGCGCCAGCGCTCACCACACCTATACCACACATGCACGCGCAATTATACATTACATTCACTAGCATAATGACCATTAATTCACGGACGTCAGTTTTACCTTATGCATCAAGGTTTCTAATATACATACACACGCGTTATACATACCCATAACCTGTAAGGATTGAATGTATCCAACATTATTTAAATAACTGCCCCTTGTATGATGATTTTCCTATTAAATACAGTGGAGGGGCCAATGGCGCTTTTTATCGGCTTCATCGTCCCACTCCCGCCACGGGAGGCGAATTACTCGGTTAGCCGTCGGCGCTGGGGGCACGCGACGAGCCCCTCCTGCCCTGCGAGTGACGCCAATCACACTGCGCTGCGGTATAAAACTAGGACTATTTTGATTCTCCGATTTCTCGAGACTCGGCTACGATTGTGCCAATGTTTAGCTCTCTCTCTCTCTAACCCCTTCTAGAACATCACTAGAAATCGCATCGGTCACTCAGCTCTCTAGACCTTATAGAAGATCGTCAGAATGTACATCGGTGAACCTTTTAACATCTCCAGAAAAAAAATTAGAATGTAGATCTATCACTAAAGTTGCCATGTATTATGCGAGTTTGCATGTGTGTGTATAGGTGTCTTACGTGAGTACGTGTGTGTGTGTGAATGTATGCACGGGTAATGGATCGGTGCAGCGGGTTGCACGCCGCGCTATGCACCCGGCGATCAGAGTTGGATTCCCGTTCACGGCCAACACCAGTGCCGGTTATATAGATGTCTGTGCGAGTCTGTGAGTCTCTGTGCGAGTCTGTGAGTCTCTGTGCGAGTCTGTGAGTCTCTGTGCGAGTCTGTGAGTCTCTGTGCGAGTCTGTGAGTCTCTGTGCGAGTCTGTGAGTCTCTGTAAGAGTCTGTGAGTCTCTGTAAGAGTCTGTGAGTCTCTGTAAGAGTCTGTGAGTCTCTGTAAGAGTATGTGAGTCTCTGTAAGAGTCTGTGGCTCTCTGTGTGCGAGTCTGTGGCTCTCTCTCTGTCCGGGTCTGTGGCCCTGCGCGAGTCTGTGAGTCTCTGTGCGAGTCTGTGACTCTCTCTCTGTGCGAGTCTGTGACTCTCTCTCTGTGCGAGTCTGTGGCACTCTCTCTGTCCGGGTCTGTGTCTCTCTGTGCGAGTCTGTGGCCCTCTCTCTCTGTGCGAGTCTGTGGCCCTCTCTGTGCGAGTCTGTGGCCCTCTCTGTGCGAGTCTGTGAGTCTCTCTCTGTGCGAGTCTGTGAGTCTCTGTGCGAGTCTGTGACTCTCTCTCTGTGCGAGTCTGTGGCTCTCCCTCTGTGCGAGTCTGTGGCTCCCTCTCTCTGTGCGAGTCTGTGGCCCTCTGTCCGGGTCTGTGTCTCTCTGTGCGAGTCTGTGAGTCTCTGTGCGAGTCTGTGGCTCTCTCTGTGCGAGTCTGTGGCTCTCTCTCTGTGCGAGTCTGTGACCCTCTCTCTGTGCGAGTCTGTGAGTCTGTGCGAGTCTGTGGCACTCTCTCTCTGTGCGAGTCTGTGACCCTCTCTCTGTGCGAGTCTGTGGCCCTCTGTCCGGGTCTGTGTCCCTCTGTGCGAGTCTGTGAGTCTCTGTGCGAGTCTGTGGCTCTCTCTGTGCGAGTCTGTGGCCCTCTCTCTGTGCGAGTCTGTGAGTCTCTGTGCGAGTCTGTGGCTCTTACTGTGCGACTCTGTGGCCCCTCTCTCTGTGCGAGTCTGTGGCTCTCCGCCAGAGGAGTCGAGTCGCGTTGTGAGTCTCTACGAGTACTTAACGCATTTTTAAACGGCAACTGAAATAACCCAGGCGGCATAGCAGTGGAGCGTTACGCTTCGTCAGGCGCTTGGGGTGATGATGGTGGTGGATGTGTTGAAAAGGTAAAGGGTTTAACGTGAAACAAAACTTTAACAGCTACTGGACCGTAATCCGGCCCCGCCTGTCAACGCTTTGCGTATATCCGAGTGCGTTCACGTTTCCAAAGCGCTTGTGCCATGCTAGGTGCACTATGAGGCCGTCACGGGCAGTGTGGAAGGCTGGCATACTGGCAGAAGGTGGTCACGGGGACACACCCACGTGCCATGGGTTGACTGCTGTGCCAGGCTAGGTGCAGGAGTTCACGGGCAAAGACGTAGGTACCATGGGTTGACAGATCGCTAGGAAAAGTGCTCTCCATACACATAAAGACAAAGATCCTCCTTATAGCTTTACGCTAATGTTGGAGCAAGTGCTGTTCGCGAGCAGCATCTAATAAAGTATGTTGAACTTCTTTCGCACCGTACGTAGCCGACTGTGCTAAGCAGAGGTGCCGGTTGAAGGAGGCCAAACTAAACACAACGTACAGCAGATCTCAAGAAATTAGTTTTTTTTTGTAAAGGCCCACACAAGGCACTTTCGAACGTTAAAGACAATTATCCACTGTATAGCACTTAAGACTGTTGAGGCCACACACATACAAAGACAAAGATCCCCCGTATAGCCTGTAACAGACTGTAGGGGCAAGTGCTATTAGCGAGCACCGATAAAGGCCGGCACGGCACACGAGGGGGTGGGTGATCAACACCACGCCCGGCCGCCTTTGTCTCCCCGCTGGCGATGTTTACACACCGCACCAGGTACTCATTTGAGGCCGAGTCGACCTAGGGGAGGCCCAGGACAGGTTCAGCTAATCGTCACCGGTGCTGGCCGTGAGCCGGAATCGAACCCGGGTCGCCGGGTTCGTAGCGTAGCGCGCTAACCGCTACACCACCGCTCCCCGCTCACACACACACACGCACGCACACACACACACACATCTAGGTGCATACGCGTACATGTAAACACAAGGAAATCCCACACGCATGTGCTCTCCACTCACCGTTAAGCCCAGATGTCTGATAGTGCTGGGTCAGGCCGTGGAGGCGTCTTTGACCCAAATCCATGCCGCTCACTTGATTCTCAATCGCTCCGCTCACCAACGCAGCACCACCACCACCACCACCTCCACCACCAGCAGCACCACCACCACCACCAGCAGCAGCAGCAACAGCAGCTGCACCAGCTCCCACGGGTAGATACATACTGATCATCTCCCCGAGGTCTCCCGGACACGCCTGTCCTGCCGCCATAGCACTCCCAAGCAGCGATCTTTGCTGCTGCTGCTGCTGTTGATGCTGTTGATGCTGCTGCTGCTGATGCTGGTGTTGCTGGTGCTGCTGATGCTGCTGTTGCTGGTGGTGGTGCTGATGGTGCTGGTGGTGGACGGGCGTTGACGATGGACTCGACTCCGACTTGATCCCGCTCACGCCTCCTCCGCCCTGCTGAGCCGCCACGCTCGATGCCGGCCCCGTCGATGCCCCCGAAGACGCCGCCGCCGCCGCCGCTTGCGCAGCCGCCGAAGGCGTTGATCCGGCAGACGACGACGACGAGGAGGAAGACGACGACGACGATGACGACGAGGAGGCGGAGGATGCCGCAGCCGCGGCCGCGGCCGCGACCGCCGCAACAGCTGACGCCGCGCCGCTTGCTCCTCCACCACCGCCACCGCCACCTCCACCGCCACCGCCCAGCGTGGCCGTCTGGCCGTACGCTGCGGCCGCTGCGCTCATCCCGTACGCGGCTGCCACGGCGGCCCCGTTCATGTAGCCGTGGGCGGCCGCCGCCGCCGCGGCCACGGCGTTGGCGTGGTGCGAGTGTCCGGCGTGGTGCGAGTGGCCGTGGTGGTGGTGGTACGGGAGTCCCGCCATCTCGTAGCGCGACGGGTGATGGGGGTGCGCCGGGTGATGGGGGTGCGCCGGGTGATGGGGGTGCGCCGGGTGATGCAGGGGCGACTGGTGGTGGTGGTGGTGGTGGTGCGCAGGGTGGTGCGGGTGCGCCGGGTGATGGTGCGGGTGGTGGCCCATGGTCTGCCCGACGGGGCTGTGCGCACCACCTACGCTGCCGTGACTGTAGCCGGCCGCCGCCGCCACGCTCAGCTGATCCTGCATGAGCGTCGCTGCGTAGCCGCTGCCCGGCCAGCCGTTGACAGCCGCCTGGTATGCGGCACCGTCCACCATGGCGCCGCGATGCGAGGACATGCCCGAGCCCGAGCCCACGGGGCTGTTGCTGTTCACCGACACGCCGCCGGACCCCAGGAGGCCCGCGGGCAGAGAGTACTTGTCCTTCTTCAGGAGGGTTTTGGTCTTGCGGCGCGGTCGGTACTTGTAGTCGGGGTGCTCCTTCATGTGCAGGGCGCGCAGCCGCTTGGCCTCGTCGATGAAGGGCCTCTTCTCCGCCTCGGTGAGGAGCTTCCACTCGGCGCCGAGACGCTTGGAGATCTCAGAGTTGTGCATCTTGGGGTTCTCCTGGGCCATCTTCCTCCGCTGGCCTCGTGACCACACCATGAAGGCGTTCATGGGCCGCTTGACGCGGTCGTTGCACATCTGCTGACTCTGTTGCCCGCCAACCTTGCCCGCTTGTCCACCACCTCCACCGACGCCACCACCGCCACCGCCACCTCCTCCACCAACGCCACCTCCTCCGATGATGAGAGAGGAGTTCGCGGACAGACTGCCGTGAGTCTGAGCCACGTGCTGCTTGAGGTCGCTCTCGAGCATGCTGTACATCATCGTGGCGACGGGGGGCGAAGTCGTTTAAGACTCACTCGAATGTCTGCTTCTGAAGACGACCACGATGTTGTTGTTGTTGCTGTTGTTGTTGTTGTTGTGTTGCTGATGCTTTCTTTCTTGCCGAGGCCTGCACGGAGAGCGGTTCGATTCGGAGGTAGGGCGTGAAGAGTAAAGCGTGGTTGTTCGAGGCGATGATGATCGCCGTCTGCGTTAGAGAGTTCCGACAACGCACAGCCAAGCTGGCAAAGGTGACGGTGACGCTGCTGCTGCTGTTGTTGTTTTCGGAGCTACCCTCAACGATGGCGACCGTGCCGAGCCGTTTATCCGTGATCCTGCGCAACAACTAAAAAGTAATTAAAAATAAATCGGAGTTTTGGTTACTCCTCGCGATCGATAAGCGCGACCCCCTAAAATAATCGAGAGACGATTTGTCGTCGTTCTTATACTCCGACTAACTAACTACCTCCTGACATGGAGAATTCGTCGATTCTGAACGAACGCGAACTACAGTAAGGATCTACAAACAACAACAGCAATGACAAAACGAGAGTGGGAGATAAAGCGACCCCTGTAGTTAGGCGAAATTAATTTATTCTTTTGTAACCGATTCCACGTTCTTCCTTTTGTTTTGCTATTCTGAGGGCGAAATTACTACAACCGCGTCTCCCCTCCCCCCCAACACACACCGCACACACACACACACCGCACACTCCCTCCACTAATAAATATAATTACTCTTATTATTATCCAAATCTTCAATAGCTTCCACAGCAATGAGATTCTATACAACTATCGGTCAAGTTTCAGCCCGTGAGAGAAAGGCGATAACGCTCCGACGAACGATTCCGTACAGCAACACCAACGAGAGAGAGAGAAAAAATCCAGAATCTACTCAAATCTACTTCTACGTTACCAACTTACGCATCACTACCGCCGTTGTAAACTAACGAACTCGACTACCGTGCAAGGGACTCCTGCCATATAACTAAGGGCGAGAGGCGATATGCAACTCTCCTCCACCTCCTATGAATACACAGAGAGAGAGAGAGAGAGCGAGTGAGTGAGTGTGCGCGCGCGTGTGTGTGTGTGCGTGCGCGCGCGAGTGAGTGGGTGAATGAATGGGGACAGCGCCTGGCATAGCGAGGAGTTGAAGGCAAGTCGGAATTTTTTTTACGGGAAATAATTAAATAAATAAGTTGCCTCGGTGGGGGGGGGGGTGTGTGGGATGGTGGGTGGGGTTGGTGGGTGGGGTGGGTGTTGGGGGTGGAGAGAATGAGCGAGAGAGGGGGGGAGGATAGGTGGGATGGTGGGTTGGGTTGGGTTGCGTTGGTTGCGTTGGTTGGTCTCTTACAATGTCAAGGCACCGCCCATCACCTCAGTGAGCCCGTGGTTGTAGTCCGTAAAACAGGTTCGCTTGCCTGTGCGTTTGGGGAGGAGGTGGAGGATGTGGCGAGTGACGTCACCGCCTCCACCCCGCTCTGCCCCCCTCCCCCTCAGCCACAGTGCCAATGGCGAGCGAGGCGAGGCGGTGGAGGTGAGCGATGGCGTGGGGAGTGAATTTAAGGATGGGGAAGCTAGCAGGTGTGTGGGGGAGAGCGTGCGCGCGAGTGTGTGTGTGCGCGCGTGTGTATGTGTGTATGTATGTGTGTGTCTATGTGTGTGTCTGTGTGTGCGCGTGTATGTGTGTGTCTGTGTGTGTGTGTGTGTCTGTGTGTGGTGCTGGCCACCCACCCCCTCGTGTACCGTTCCGGCCTTCATAGGTGCTCGCTAACAGCACTTGCCCCTACAGTCTGTTAAGGCTATATGGGGGATCTTTGTTATCTTTGTCTATGTATGTGTCTGTGTGTATCTATGTGTTAGGTCGACTCGGTCTCAAATGAGTACCTTGTGCGGTGTGTAAACATCCCCACTGGGGAGACAAAGGCGGTCGGGCATGGTGCTAGCCACCCACCCCCTTCACAGGTGCTGCTCGCAAACAGCACTTGCCCTACCCAACAGTCCTGTTGAACGCTATACGGGGGATCTTTGTCTTTGTGTGGGTGGGTGTGTGTGTGTTTGTACGGTTGTATAGGTGGGTGTTTGTGTGTGTATGTGGGCGGATGTGTGTGCGTGCGTGTGTAAAACGCGCGCGTGTTTCCGCGTGAGTGTTTCGTGCGTGTATGTAATGGTGTGTGCATATAGTGTGCAACATTGTGTGTGTGTGGACACACATGAGTGTATGCGCTTGATTGTATATTGTGTGTATGCGCGTATATATTCGAATGTGTGTTAAATAGTGAGTGTGCGCGTATGAAGTTATGTATATTTGTGTGTATATCTGTATGATGCGGGTGTATGTATGTGTGTATGGGGAGCGGTAGTGTGTGTGTGCATGTGTGTCTGTGTGTGTGTATGGGGAGCGGTAGTGTAGCGTTAAGTCCGGCGACCCGAGTTCGATTCCCGCTCACGGCCAACACCGATGACGATTATCTGAGCCGGTCCTGGGCCTCCGCAAGGTCGACTCGGCCTCAAATTCATAATCTGGTGCGGTGCGTAAAAACATCGCCACTAGGGAGACAAAGGCGGCCGGGCGTGGTGCTGGGCACCCACCCCCTCGTGTGCCGTTCCGGCCTTAATCGGTGCTCGCTAACAACACTTGCCCCAACAGTCTGTTGAGGCTATACGGGTGATCCTTGTCTTTGTATGAATCCACGTGTGTACGTTCGACGATGTGTGTATGTGTGTGAGTATGCGTGAGTGTGCGTGTGTGTGTGTTACCCCAACAGTCAGTTGTTGAAGGCGACACGGGAATGTAGCGGTGTCTTTGTCTTCGATTTATATATATGCATGCGCATATGTAAATATATTAGTTCTGCTGGTGCATGACCTCGTACTTTTCCATTTTTGCGCGTGCGTGTGCGCGCGTGTGTGTGCAGCAGGACTGGGGAGACAAAGGCGGCCGGGCGGGGGATGCTAACACCGCTGCATCCCCCGCCTCCCTCCCCCCACCGATGGTGAGATGTTCACGTCTGGAGAGGTGCTCGCAGATCGGCACTTGCCATAACCGCGTGCATGCGTGCGCCTATACGGGATAGGGGGGAAACTTTCGTGTGTCCGTGCGTGTCCGCTTCGAAGGTGCGTGGAACTTATCTCGCAACCAAAAGCGTACGTAGACGGACCGCGCTCATCGGAGGCGCGTGTACATCGATGCGTATCGGTGATCGAATATCTGAACCGGTCCTGGGCCTTCCCCTAGGTCAACTCGGCCTCAAACGAGTGCCTGGTGCGGCGTGGAAACGTCGTCACTAGGGAGACAAAGGCGGTCGGGCGAGGTGCTGGGCACCCATCGCCATGCTTTTTGTTCCGGCTTTCATAGGTGCTCGCTAACAACACTTGCCCCCAACAAGTCTGCAGAAGGCTATACGGGGGCTCTTTGTCTTTGTATGCGGGGAGCGGTAGTGTAGCGGCTTAGCGCACTGCGCTACGAAGCACTGGGGAGACAAAGGCGGCCGGGCGTGGTACTGGTCACCCACCCCTTCGTGTGCCGTGCCGGCCTACATAGGCGCTGCTCGCTAACGGCACTTGCCCCAACAGTCTTTAAAGCTATACGGGGCATCGTTGTCTTATTGACGTGTGTGTAATTGTATTGGGGACGTGTGGATAATTGAATGTACGGACGTATATATGCACACTGACACGCACATATACATATACACATACAAATATACATACGTAAAAAGACAAAGCTCCGTCTATAGCCTTAACAGACTGTTGGGGCGGGTGCCCAGCAACCACGCCAGACCGCTTTTGTCTCCCCAGTGGCGATGTCTACACACCGCACCAGGTACTCATTTGAGGCTGAGTCGACCTAGATGATCGTTACCGGTGTTGGCCGTGTGCGGGAATCGAATTCGGGTCGCCGGGTTCGTAGCGCAGCGCGCTAACCACTGCGCCACCGCTCCCCACTCACTCACTCACTCAACCACGCGCTCACAACTCTCCTAAACAGGGCGAGAGAACATACAAACACCACTTGGAACCAAGCCGGCGTCGGGAATCGAACCCAGGTTACCTTCTTGCTGTTAGGCACCGGTGTTACACCAGCACTCCGCCCCAGACGTTGGTCACCAATGTTGGCCACGCGAAACGAACGCCTTGGTCCGCTAATCGAACTCGGCCGTAGGCGGGGTTCGTAGCGCAGCGCGCTAACCACTGCGCCACCGCTCCACTAGAATGCGCGCGCGCGTTTGTTGGGGAGCGACGAAAAAACTTCGGGCGACCCGAGTTCGATTCGCGCTCGCGGCCAACAGCAGGTGACGATTATTTCTGAACCCGTCCTGGGCTTCCCCAAGGTCGACTCGGCTTCAAATGAGTACCCGGCGCGGCGAGGTGCAGTGAGCATCGACTACTGGGGGGAGACAAAGGCGGCCGGGCGTGGTTGCTGGCCACCCACCCCCTCGTGCGCCGCGCCGGCCTTCATAGTTGCTCGCTCACAGCACTTGCCCCAAAAGTCTGCGCAGGCGATGCGGGGGATCTTTATTTGTTTTCCCACCTCTGGAATGTCGCGCGCGTGTAATGTGGGCGAGCGGTGGCGCAGCAGTTAGCGCACCGCGCTCCCCATCTAGGTGTGAACATCGACACTGGGGAGACAAAGGCGGCCGTGAAAGGGGTACTGGACCGCACCTTCCCAGCTTGTCTTCGCTAGCAGCACTTGCCCCAGACTGCTTGTTGAAGGCTACACGGGAGAATCTTTGTCTTAAGAGTGTAATACAAAAGCCCCGTGAGTTTACGTATGCGCCTTCATCCAGCGGTGGATTGACCATTGCTGATGATATTGACATGCACGCCGAGTGGCGGTGCACGCATATATACACAAAGACAAAGATCCCCCGTATAGCCTTAACAGACTGTAGGGGCAAGTGCTGTTAGCGAGCACCTATGAAGGCCGGAACGGTACACGAGGGGGTGGGTGGCCAGCAACACGCCCGGCCGCCTTTGTCTCCCCAGTAGCGATGTTTACACACCGCACCAGGTACTCATTTGAGGCTGAGTCGACCTAGGGTAGGCCCGGGATCGGTTCAGATAATCGTCACTGGTTTTGGCAGTGAGCGGGAATCGAACCTTGGTCGCCAGGTTCATAGCGCAGCGCGCTCACCGCTACACTACCGCTCCCTATATACACACACAAATATATACATACATATACACTACGATCATATCACGAATACGCAAGCATACATACCGATTCATACAAACACGCAAGTTCATACATTCTCACTTGTATGTACGTACTTACAATGATCACAGGCATCTTACGTGTGCTTATGTTTGTATCTACAAAAAATATATAAATATCCCATGTGTAGCCTCTGACAGATGTTTGGGGCAAGTGCTGTTTAGTAGAGTGTAGCACCTATGAATGCCGGCACGGCACACGAGGGGGTGGGTGGCTAGCACCACGCCCGGCCGCCTTTGTCTCCCTTGTGGCGATTTTTACAAATTTAAGGCTGAGTCGACCTTGGGGAGGCACAGGACCGGTTCACATAATCGTCACTCGCGTTGGCCGTGAGCGGGAATCGAACTAGGGTCGCCGGGTTTCGTAGCGCACCGAAATAATATACGTGTACAAAGACAAAGATGCCCCGTATAGCCTTATCAGACTGTTGGGGCAAGTGCCGATGGCGAGCACCTATGAAGGCCAGAACGGTACACGAGGGGGGTGGGGGTGGTCAGCACCACACCCGACCGCCTTTGTCTCCCCTGGTGGCGATGTTTACACACCGCACCAGGTACTCGTTTGAGGCCGAGTCGACCACGGGGAGAGCGCGTCCATAGCGAAGCGCGCTAACCGCTGCGCCACCGCTCCCTCCCGACAACAACCCCGACGTCCCGCGTCAGACCCAGCAACAACGACAACAACAACAAACAACAACAAAACCACCGACACATTCTGAGTTACCATCAATTTATTACGGCATCCCGTGCTCGGAATAACCCGACGAATATTTCCTATTACATTCCCGCACACCCTGTTCAGAAGGAAAGTTCACGAAGCGATGTGCGTCCAATCGGCGTCAGAAACCCACCCCAAGTGCTCATTAGTGGCGCGCGTGCGCCTGCGATTGCCGCTTTCACGGGGGTGTTGCGCGTGGGGTGACACGTGTTGCACGTGAGGTGACACGTGTTGCGCG